TACAGTTATCTTACTTGTTACTGTACTAAAGTAAGCTACTACAGTTATCTTCCATGTTACTGTACTGTATTAAAGTAAGCTACTACAGTTATCTTACTTGTTACTGTACTAAAGTAAGCTACTACAGTTATCTTCCATGTTACTGTACTGTACTAAAGTAAACTACTACAGTTATCTTCCATGTTACTGTACTGTACTAAAGGAAGCTACTACAGTTATCTTCCATGTTACTGTACTAAAGTAAGCTACTACAGTTATATTCCATGTTACTGTACTGTACTAAAGTAAACTACTACAGTTATATTCCGTGTTACTGTACTAAAGTAAGCTACTACAGTTATCTTACTTGTTACTGTACTAAAGTAAGCTACTACAGTTATCTTCCGTGTTACTGTACTAAAGTAAGCTACTACAGTTATATTCCATGTTACTGTACTGTACTAAAGTAAACTACTACAGTTATATTCCATGTTACTGTACTGTACTAAAGTAAGCTACTACAGTTATCTTCCATGTTACTGTACTGTACTAAAGTAACTACTACAGTTATCTTACTTGTTACTGTACTGTACTAAAGTAAACTACTACAGTTATATTCCATGTTACTGTACTGTACTAAAGTAAGCTATTACAGTTATATTCCATGTTACTGTACTGTACTAAAGTAAGCTACTACAGTTATCTTCCTTATTACTGTACTAAAGTAAGCTACTACAGTTATCTTCCATGTTACTGTACTTGACTAAAGTAAACTACTACAGTTATATTCCGTGTTACTGTACTAAAGTAAGCTATTACAGTTATATTCCATGTTACTGTACTGTACTAAAGTAAGCTACTACAGTTATCTTACTTGTTACTGTACTAAAGTAAGCTACTACAGTTATCTTACAAATCTTTAGTGCAGATTATGGTAGCAGTTATAAAACATTCATTCTAAGTGTTTATTTTAGATCTATTTAATGACTGTATGATGTGTTAACAGGATGAAAACCTCCATGATGTCCTTCAGATGCTGATGGCACTTATGTCAGAACATCCTGCTTCTATGGTCCCAGCCTTTGATGTAAAGAATGGAGTCAGGTATAGATCCTATTAGCCACAGTTTTAACATATATATAATTCTGATACTGTACATTACCTCTGTTTACATAAATAGCTATTCTGTTTCAGTGATGCTCCCTATACGCACACATTTTTTTCATTTGCCACAACCCTTGAGCTCCCATGTACCTAGGAAACCACTTATTAGAATGAGTCTTGCATGTAAATCATCATGCGAACCAACCCTCTACCAGTAAGAGTATGGCACACTCTCTTAGTGTATGTGACTCCTTTTATTTGAGCTCCCCCAGTGGCACAGCGGTGTATATCTGCTGACTTACAATGCTAGAAACCAAGTTTCTATACCCATGGTGGGCAGAGCACGGATAGCCTATTTTGTAAATTTGTGCTTAACTTCAAAAGAAACAAATACACCTTTTGTTCAATTCTACCAAACTGTCACTTCATGTTTGCAGTACTCTTGTCAAGACAGTTTTATTGTGCTTTTTGAATTTGTTGAACTGAGTGATTTTTTTTTTATTATTCTGTGAATTTTTTGTTTTTGAACCATTAAAGACTTTTCAGATAACTTTTTTACTAGTGTTTCCTTTTTTCTTGTATTGTGTTTGATTTTAATTTTTATCCAATGAATTCCAAATTTCAAGTTACCATTTCGGAAATCATACTTTCTACTAGCACGCTCACACAGGCTACAGGTGGGGTTGATTTGTCTTTGGATTTATTGGCTATCATCCACTGTAAGATTGAACGTTATATGAGCCAATCTGCTTCTCCTGCTTTTACTCCTATTCCTCCTGAACATGGTGAACCTGTTTGGGTCGACAAGGATTTTAACAGTTCACCTGAATTTGCTGTGTCTTCCTATGCCCCTATTGTGGAATCAGCTAGGCCTAATATGGCTTTTTTAAACATGATTTCTCATGTATGTTTTATTTCGTCCATTTCTCCAATTTATTACGATTCCCATTCTTCTTTGTTACATGATACCTACTCCTCTCAGTATTTGTTTTTTTCCCCTTCCCTGGATATTAGGGTTCATGCTGAGCAGTTTGTTTCTCAGATGGTTGAGGGTGCCAGCATGCCTCTCCCACCGCGGGCTTTGGATCATTTTGCTTTGGCCTACCATTAGGCTAATTGTTCATTTCTCGATTCTCAAAAGTTAGAATCAATTTTGCTCATGTGGGGGGGGGGGGGACCCTGGTCATCCTGTTTGTTTATCCCATGCCCGATTTTCCCACCTCTTTCTAGCCCTATTGACTCTCCTATGGTGCTTGTCTACTATCTATCTCCTTTCCAAGGCAATCCACAAAGATCATGAGGGTTTTTCGAGGGATTGCCTCTTCCCAATTACCTCCATGCTGGCACATTTTGGCTCTTGCCTTACACACATGTGGTTTCTCTGTAATTTGGATCTCCTGGAGAGGGAAGCAGCATTGTCTCGGGTTTGTTTGCTGCCTAGTTATCTTTGGGACTTACATATGGCACCTTTTCTTCAGCAGTATGTTTTTAGTAATATTCTCAAGAATCTGGAATTCTGTGTGGAGTCAGAATGCAATAGCAAACTATTCTTTATTCTTTGGTGAATGGTTTGTCACATTCTGAACTTAAACATACCCCTATTATTGTTTCCCATCAAGCTCCTTCTCAGCCCTTACTTGTTCCTCCCTCAAGGGTTTCATCATCTCATTGTTTTATTGGATGCAGATGGACACGTCGGCAACAGTACTGGTGGCTACCCGGTGGGATCTGGTCCAGTGGGGGCTCGCTTGACTGATTTTGTTCCCCTTTGGTGTTTTTTTTTTCATCACAGATCTGTGAGTTATTTGAGTATTATCCGAAGGACTTGCCATCCACTTTCTTTCTCCTTTTCCGTTATGTCAGATACCCATTTTCTTTCCATTGTCTTGGGATCCTGTCACCAGTCAGTGTTTGTTAGAGGTGGTACGAGATCTTCTCTCCCAACAGGCCATCAAACCTATCAATCATCCTTCTCTAGGTTTTTTATTCCAGACTGTTTGTAGTACCCAAGAAAGCTGGGGACTGGTGGCCAGTAATCGATTTGTCCTGCCTCAATCAATTTTTGATTCTATCCAGATTTACCATGAAGTCTTTTCTCACCCTCGGGTAGTCTTTTTCTCTGGGTTTGTGGGTGACCAAGGTAAATGTTGTGAATGCTTACCATCATATTCCAATTTCTGAACTGCTATCTTTGGTTCGTTCATCACAGGGTACTTTATCAATTTTGCTCCCTGCCCTTCGGGCTTGCTTTGACCCCATATGTGTTTTGTCAGCTGGTCAAGGCATTCGCTCAACATTTACATGCTCGGTATTTGAGCTTCCATCATTATATGGACGAATGGCTGCTGTTAGCTCCTTCTGAACAGGAGTCTGCCCATCACACTCATCTGCTGCTCCTGGAGGCAGCTCGTGTGGGTTTGGTAATCAAATTGGAGAAGTCATTTCTTATACTTACCCAATATCTTTTCCATGTGGGTGTCTTTTTTGTTCTATGGGGCTTTCAGTTCTCTACACCCTTACTGCTCTCTCTCTTACAGCTTTTGATGTTCTATCACTTTTGGTAATGTGGTCTTCCATGGAAGCCGTTATCCGCTTGGGTCAAGCACATATGAGGTCTCTTCAGTGGACTCTGCATGACCAATGGAGTACTGTGCAGGATCTATTGGAGGCTCCAATTTCCCTGCCTATCCTTCCCTTGTAGATGATCTGCATTGGTGGTTGGACAAGGTTGATACTTCAGTGGGTGTTCAGATTCCTCCCCCTCGTTCCAATTTACATATCTTCATGGATGATTTCCTTCAGGACTGGAGGGCATGGGTGGATCAGCAGGAAGCTTCAGGTCAGTGGTCTCTGGCTGAAAGATATTACCATATCAACATCCTGGAGCTTCTGGCTGTACACCATACCTTGGATCATTTTCTTCATCTTGCCAGGAATTTTCTGGTTATGATACATTCAAACACTTCTACAGTGGTGGCTTATCTCAATCATCAAGGTAGCACCTGTTCTTGTTCCCTTTGTAGTTAGACCTTGGATCTCCTTTTTTGGGCCCACATGCTTAGTATTCGTAACATATTGTGTCATGTTTCTGATGAATTCAATCTTGTTGTGGATAGCCTTTCCCATCCAGACAAAGTTTATCTGATGGAGTGGTCTTTTGATCTTCTTGTTTTCCAGTGGCTATGCATTCAGTGGTGTACTTCTCACCTGGATGTGTTTGCTATATACCCCAATACCAAATTACCTCTGTTTTGGTCTCCGGTTTCTCATCTTCTTGTTCTGGATGTCGATTCTTTCAGTCAAGATTGGACCAACAGATACCTTTATGTTTATCCTCCCATCCTTCTTCTTCACAGAATGATCTCGATCATCCATGCGACTCTGTGTCAAGCCTTTCTGATTGCTCCTTACTGCTTGGCACAACTGTGGTTCCCGTGGCTGCTCCATCTCCAATTTGCCTCTCTGTTACCCCATCCCTTCTACATCAACCTCAGTCACTGGCATTTTATCAAGCCCTTCATATCCTTCATCTTCACATCTGGTTTTTATCTGGTCCTTGGCACGGAGATCCAGTTTGTCACAGCAGGTTGTTTCTTTTTTAGCTTGTTCCATTCGCCCGTCCTCTAGAGATGTTTATTAACGTAAGTGGAATGTTTTCTGCCTTTGGTCGTGGGGTCAAGGGTTTTCATCTGCTAGACCCACTATTCCTTATATTATGGATTTCCTCACTTGGCTTTTTGATCAGAGGTCTTTTGTCTCCTCAATCGAGGATTATTGGGCTGCATTATCCCACACTTTTTTGTTTTTCCCAGTATTGTAAAGTTTTTTTCTCTCCTACTCTTTCCCTCTTGTTGCATTCCTTCCAGATTATTCGTCCACCTTGGCATGCATTCCTTTTGGATTGAAATGCTAGAGTGGTTCTTTGCTGCCCCACTTTGCCTTCATTTGAACCACTGTTCTCATGCTCAATTTTTCACTTATCCCTTAAGACTTATTTCCTTCTCTTAGCCTGTGGACATTGTTGGTTGTATTTGTCATTGATGTTTCACATACTCTATATTATTCTACATATATTCTCTTTTATCTGGATCAATCTTTCCTTCCCAAAACTTCAGCATCTCAGGAGGGTGATTACTCCTTCTCGCCAATTTCTCTTTCTTCCATTTCTCACCTTTATCCTTGGTTGGATCCGGGTAGGCTACTATGTCCTGTTCGTGCTCTTCATCTTTATGTTGCCTGCACGTCTTCCTTCTTTAGTGCCTGTTTCCACCTGTTCATTCCTTTTTAGACATCCTCTGTTTGTGACCTTTCTCCTTCCACCATGACCAATTGGGTTTGGTTTTTAATTTGATTGGCTTATGTTTCCTTATTGTCTTCTACCCGTAATTTGTTCCAGGTGTCTTCTCATCAGATGAGGCACCTTACCTTTTCCCTGGCATCTCATCTCCATCTTCCCTTGAAAGTAATTCTTCAATCAGGCATATGTTCATATTTCACTAGTTGCATTAGATTGCTGTATCTTTAACCTTGGGTCATCGTTTTCTGCCTGTAGCCATTTTTCAGACTTTGGTGAGACTATGACTGGGTGAGTTATTTTTTATATCTATATCTCTTCTTTTTTCAGGGTCTTTTCCCCCTTTTTTACTGTTCTGATCCCGCTTTGTGGTTAGTGGTGTCTGACCAGGTATGCTTCTCCTAGTCAAATCCATGCTGTCAGGCTACTTTGACTGCTTATTTCTAATTTTCATGGCCATAACATACTCACTATTGAGATGGGGTGTTCCATAAGATTGCTTGTGGGTTTGTCCTCACAATATATTTGCTTCATTAATAAGCCCATTCCGGACCATACTCGCCCATGGATTTCATAGGTAAAGCAGAAGGGGGATAGCTACCCATCCCTACCATGCCTTAGTTTGAATAAATCAGGTATGGTCTGCTTTTCAAAATAGAGTTTTCTTGGTCATTCATTGCACTGCCTCTGGTGTTGTTGTTCATCTGGACACTTCACTGCATTTTCTCCCCCTTTTCTTCTGGTGGAGTATGGAAGTCCTTACCACTTTCCAGCTTCAAGCCACTGGGATAGTGGATCATGTAGGCACCTTCCTGAATGTGATAAGGATAAACTCTACATATAATGACAAACCATTCAGTTGAGAGTAGTACAGTGGTGTTTTGGTGGGGACGAGATGTCCTCCAATCTGATGCTCCATTTATGAGAGGATGTGGTAGCTTTGTAGTGAGCCATTGCTGTTCACCCCTTTGATTGGGATTCTACCTCATGTAGATTTTGGTTCCTAGTGGCTGGGTTTTGGATTCAGAGATGAACAAATCCTCACACATATATTACAATTGTCTCTGTTTTCTCACTCAATTGTACTCTTGTTCCTCCATCCGTGTTGTGGGTCACAATGGAGGTACCTGCAGATTAATATGGTTTTTCCTCTTACACTATCCTTCAATGATTTTATTATATCAAGGATGTTATTGTGCTAGGAGTGTTACCTGTCAGATTGGTTCTGAGTGAGATAGTTTACATTTGAGATAGTTTACATTACAAAGACATCTTTGTGATACCATTTGTCTGGAAGTTAGGTTCCTGGATTTGACAATCAATTTCTAAAATTGCTATCATGTGTCCCATTCATAGATTGGGGGATAATAGATTCCTTCCACTCAGCTGAACTTGAGGTGCAGACAGTATGATTTTCTTTTCTACCTCCATCAGATGGCTGGGTTTTGGATTGTAGTTGACTTGTTGCCAGTATGATCCTTGGTGCAGGTAGGAAAGAGGATCATACTAGCAGCAAGTCAACTACAATCCAAAACCCAGCCATATGTATGGTCCCTTGCACTCTAGCCACTCTACACTTAGTGGAACATCCTTTTACTTTCACCCACATTCCAGTACTCTGTAGGGTTGAGATTTGTTATATGGTGGTTTGGATCCCTATCCCACCCTTGTTCTTTCCTATAGGGATGTGCTCCTTCCTTTTTTCCACCTATGTCTGCGACACCTCATTTCAAGCTGGGTGAAGAGTATAAGTGGTACAGATATGGTGCCTTCTCCCAAGTATGGTTCTCTCGTATGAGAATCTATCCTTTTACACTGTTTTTTGGAGACTTTTGAGGAATGCTGCTTTGTTTTTAACCGGTCCCTCCACCTATCCAATGTGGGATTCTAGTTATTTATGTGAGTGAAGGTAACGTACCATATCGGAAGTTATAATTTTTCTATAATGAAAATATATTTCCGATAGATACTTACCTCCATACTTCCCACCCTTCCTCCCTACTGAAAATCATTGCTTTCATTTTCTGTCAAAACTCAAAGTGATAGTTCGGTAGAATTGAATAGAGTCACATGTGTCACACTCTTATTGGTGGAGGGTTGTCACATGATGGATTACATGCGAGACACATTTGAATCAATTGATTGTAAGGTACGTGGGAGATCAAGGCTTGTGGCATGCGAACAAATTATTTTGCATATAGAGGGCAGCACTGAACAATAATAACTATTTATGTGAGAGGAGGTAAGTACCTAATGGAAATATATTTTTAGTTTCTAACTTTTCCATGTATGTTACATTAATTTTGTGTGTAGCTTTTTTTCTTGTGATGCTAATTAATAGGACTTAATTTCTTGTAATGTTTGGATAAGTTCACCAGAACATCTTTATGGGCTTACTGTACTGTGATTACCTTGATATTTCATTTCATTCTTTTCTTGTTTTTATCTCATGTTTAACTATAAAATTTTAAATGAAATAACTAGGAAAAATGTATGTAAAGGAACTTGGTCTTATATTTTGTTCGTTTGTTTACTGTATTACATCTAATAAAGAAATACCATGTTGTACACGTTTTATGTTTGAACTTTATATTTTTCCCTTACTCAGTAATAATGGCTGTAGAAATTTTGTTCTGTTGTTTAACATTGTGCAATGAATGTGCTGAGACTATGACAGTGAAGAGAGAATAAGCATGGTGAATTGTAACAAAAAGAGATGAAAGATGTCGATGGCAAATGTAAATACAATAAGTTTTGTGATATAAAGTGCTTTTGGGTAGAGTTAATTAACAGCCTCAATTCAGTCTACTAGAAAACCGTTGAATCAACAGAGTGCAATCTGTTTAATAATCACTGCCAAAATAGCATATGAGATTGTATTTTTTATCCCATTTCTAAGATCTGGTGTGTTTCTACACCAGAGTTACGTAGTTTCATCTGTGTTTGATCTCTGTATTCTAGGACGGTTTTTAAACTCTTGGCTTCCAAAAGTGAAACTATTAGGCTGCAAGCTCTCAAGCTGCTGGGCTACTTCCTGTGTAGGAGCACTCACAAGTGAGTAGAGCTCTGCCTTTTTACTTAGTGGTGTTTGTAACAAATCAATGTGGACTTTTAACCCTTTTCATATGGCATGTAATAAAGTAGTGCCATGTTACTGTACATCAGGTAAGCAGCTTCAGGTACTTTCCATGTTACTGTACATCAGGTAAGTAGCTTCAGGTACTTTACGTGTTACTGTATATCAGGTAAGCAGTTACAGGTACTTTCCATGTTACTATACATCAGGTAAGCAGCTACAGGTACTTTCCATGTTACTATACATCAGGTAAGCAGCTACAGGTACTTTCCAAGTTACTATACATCAGGTAAGCAGCTGCAGGTACTTTCCATGTTACTATACATCAGGTAAGCAGCTACAAGTACTTTCCATGTTACTATACATCAGGTAAGCAGCTACAGGTACTTTCCATGTTACTATACATCAGGTAAGCAGCTACAGGTACTTTCCATGTTACTGTACATCAGGTAAGCAGCTACAGGTCTTTCCATGTTACTATACATCAGGTAAGCAGCTACAGGTACTTTCCATGTTATTATACATCAGGTAAGCAGCTACAGGTACTTTCCATGTTACTATACATCGGAATGTATAGTAACATGGAAAGTACCTGTAGCTGCTTACCAGGTAAGCAGCTACAGGTACTTTCCATGTTACTATACATCAGGTAAGCAGCTACAGGTACTTTCCATGTTACAAAAACATCAGGTAAGCAGCTACAGGTACTTTCCATGTTACAAAAACATCAGGTAAGCAGCTACAGGTACTTTCCATGTTGCTATACATCAGGTAAGCAGCTACAGGTACTTTCCATGTTACTATACCTCAGGTAACACGAAGTTTGTTGCTGTAGTTCGTCAGTTCCATGAAGGTATGATGGCAAGAGTGCTCGGTGACGGAGAAGAATCCATATAGTTTCCTGTGTCCGGTGGCATCAAGCAGGGTTGCGTGTTGGCACCAAATCTGTTTAGTATGTATTTATCAGCATTGCTGTCAGACGCTTTCAGGGATGGTCCGAGCGGAATACACCTGCGATATCGAATGGATGGAAAGCTGTTCAATCTTCGCCGTTTGCAAGCGCGCACAAAAGTTCGTTTGACTAGTATCAGAGACCTGTTGTTTGCTGATGATTGTGTGCTGAGTGCAACTTCGGCTGAAACGGTGCAACAGGAGCTCGACTGCTTCGCAAGGGGATGTGGCGATTTCGGTCTTACAATTAACACCTCCAAGACAAAGGTTGTGCTTCAGCCCGCTCCTTGTCGATCTCTAGTTGATCCAGAATTATCCATTGACGGTATGAACCTGGAGATGGTTGAGAGTTTTCGCTATCTTGGAAGCACGCTCTCGAAGGACGCTAACATCGACATAGAGGTTGACCACCGGATCGCACGTGCGAGCTCTGCTTTCGGAAGACTCCGTCGCAGTGTGTGGGAGCGGAGAGGGCTCAGACTAATCACCAAGCTGAAGGTCTATCGGGCAGGGGTATTGAGCGTCC